AGTGCAATGCAAAGCGTCGGATGCGGTGGTGTAAAGCACGCCGCCACTGGACTCTAGAGCAGTGGAGACGCGTTCTCTGGAGTGACGAATCGCGCTTCTCCATCTGGCAATCTGATGGACGGGTCTGGGTTTGGCGGTTGCCAGGAGAACGGTACTTGTCTGACTGCATTGTGCCAAGTGTAAAGTTTGGTGGAGGGGGGATTATGGTGTGGGGTTGTTTTTCAGGAGCTGGGCTTGGCCCCTTAGTTCCAGTGAAAGGAACTCTGAATGCTTCAGCATACCAAGACATTTTGGACAATTCCATGCTCCCAACTTTGTGGGAACAGTTTGGAGCTGGCCCCTTCCTCTTCCAACATGACTGTGCACCAGTGCACAAAGCAAGGTCCATAAAGACATGGATGACAGAGTCTGGTGTGGATGAACTTGACTGGCCTGCACAGAGTCCTGACCTCAACCCGATAGAACACCTTTGGGATGAATTAGAGCGGAGACTGAGAGCCAGGCCTTCTCGTCCAACATCAGTGTGCGACCTCACAAATGCGCTTCTGGAAGAATGGTCAAAAATTCCCATAAACACACTCCTAAACCTTGTGGACAGCCTTCCCAGAAGAGTTGAAGCTGTTCTAGCTGCAAAGGGTGGACCGACGTCATATTGAACCCTATGGATTAGGAACGGGATGTCACTTAAGCTCATATGTGAGTCAAGGCAGGTGAGCAAATACTTTTGGCAATATAGTGTATATATATATATATATATATATATATTGCAGATGCCCTTTGTAGCTTAGATGTCTGCACTGATTTGAGGTGTTCGGTAAGTACGCCTAGCTGCAGAACTCATATTCTGTTTGAGCCATGATGGGTTTTTGAGCCTAAATATAGGCTAGTGCGCCAACCCTTGTGATGCCACTTGTGTGTCAGATTTATGAGCTTCCCTCATAGGATCTTAGTATGTATATAAGAAAATGCACTTAATTATGCAAACTATTTTACTTTTCAAATGTTTTAAGTCAGAGCTTTTCCTTTATTTTTAACAATTCTGTTTGATTAAAATAAAACTATCGATAAGGAGTATCATTTAGAGTAGTAGTATTGATAAATCAGTCATTCTGATCACATAATCCAATTTCCAAATTATACCCCGACTATTTGTTATGCATAATTACATAAGATATAAAAAGAAAAATCTGGGCCCACATCTGTTAAATAGTCTTTTTTTTTTTTTTTACCTGCACAGGTTGGCTCCTTCCAACTGTTTGTTGACGGATACAAGGATGCCGATTTCTGGCTTCGGAAGTTTGAAGCGGAGCCTCTCCCAGAAAACACAAACCGTCAGCTACAGCTACAGTTTGAACGGCTCGTTGTCCTTGATTACATCATCAGGAACACAGGTAATGGTTACCAAAATATACATATTCAAGTCATGTATGGAAATATAACTTATTCTGATTTGCCCAGTCTTTCAGATGTCACTGCTGAGTAAAATGTTTGCCTATTTTGAATCTAGATAGAGGAAATGACAACTGGCTGCTAAAATATGACTTACCCATGGATTCTGGGGGGAACAGGGTGAGGAAACCCACTCGTTCACAAACACAGACCCACATGTTGGGTTTTGGTATGACATAAATTTATTTCTATGGCCTAACCAAGACCCTTACCTCGACTTTACCCATACAGACACATATTTCACCCTAAACCTAAGCTAAACTCAATACCTATCTTAGTCCTAACCCTAGAACTCAGAAGAGAACCTTCCAAATGACCAGTCAGCTGGTCCCCACAAGTATCTGTAAGTCCCACCAGTGTAGTATATTCCTGGGAAATTTCTCCACAAGAAACGAAACACAGTTCCTCTGCCCCAAACACGCATTCTAGCCTTGCTTTAAATAGTAAAGCTGCTGTTTATTTCCATTGTTTTAAGTCATATTCACTACTTAACATTCTGCATCATATGCAGCCTTTAACACTGTCAAAGGCATTTAACGTTTACAAATATACAAATATTGTTTGGTATTATTTTTGGATTGCCTATCAGTACAACAAACAAAATGGTCGCACTTCATTGGTGACTTATTAGTCCATATATTTTACATTATAACTTATATTATATATAAGGACCCTGTCCTTATTGGGCTCCTAACATTGCCTGGCTGCCACACCTACCCATTTACATGCTGACAGATCTTGGGAGACCCAATTTTAGTAATTTGTGTTTCGTTTTTTTTCTCTGACAGATCATGTTGTGTGTTTTTCAGCTGTTTTAATGTTATGCTTGCTTTATTGATTTCAGGACACAGACTGGGTTGTAGTCAAGGACCCTATCATCAAGTTGGCAGCTATAGACAATGGCCTTGCCTTTCCACTCAAACACCCTGACTCCTGGAGAGCATGTAAGTAAATTTACCTGCACATCTTTATCATAACTGCATATCTATTTGGGTCGTTGGTCTTTTTCACTGATGAAATATCCAAGTTTGGAAATTAAACAAGTTTCATTGATATAATTGTTTCATTGTTGACTTTACAGACCCTTTCTACTGGGCGTGGCTGTCCCAAGCTAAAGTTGCTTTCTCCCAGGAAATCAGGGATTTGGTGCTACCCAAACTTTCAGATCCAAACTTTATCAAAGATCTGGAAGAGGACCTCTATGAACTATTTAAGGCAAGGAGAGCTTCAGCACAATCATCAGCTGTAGCTTTAAGATGAAGTACGAGTCCGTGATTAGAATACCAGATAACATGTTTCCTATTTTTGTGTTACAGAAAGATCTAGGTTTTGACCGGGGACAGTTTCAAAAACAAATATCTGTTATGAGGGGACAGGTGAGTTCACTCTTCACCTCCATTTTGATTAGTCTTAAAATCTAAAACTGACTGAAGTTTATCAACATCTTTTAGTTGGTTAGGCGTTTAAGTGTTTGTGTTTCCATCTTCAGATCCTAAACCTTTGCCAAGCACTGAAGGAAGGTAAATCCCCGCTCCAGCTGGTCCAGATGCCTCCAGTTATCGTTGAAACAGCTAGAGCACCTCAAAGAGCAAACAGTGAATCCTACACGCAGAGCTTTCAGAGTAGAAGACCCTTCTTCACCTGGTGGTAGGACCAAAGGAAAAACAGCAGCAAATTCAAATTGCTTTGGTGACAAACATCTCCGCATGGATGCAAGAGAAGAAATCCCACTACCTCTCCTCTCCTTGTGGATTTTTTTGTTTTTGCTGCAGAAGAAGGTTGTTGGACGGAGAAATTAGGCAAAAGAAGAGGGATTTCCCTAAATATCATCCCTGTTTGCATCCGTGCCTTGTGTGAATATGATCAAAGAAGGTTCTGTGCAATGGCATTGTTTTCTGCACTCATGGGTGCATGTTATGGTTACTTACCCACCCACTTGCACACCAGTCAGAATCTTCTCATTGGTTTATTTTTGAATGAGAGGTTTCTTGCATTCCATTTTTTTTTGTTTTTATTTTATTTTTTTCCTTGCCCCTGTCCATACTTGTACACATTTCCTGTGCTACGCAGTGCCAATACAATTGTTTTTCATTAGGTTAGAGAAGTCTTTCCTGAGGCTTACTCACACATTTAGGAAGAGGGCACTGAAGTGGTTTGTATGTCCAAACTTTGACCATATGAACTGGTTTCATGATATGCATTGTTTCCATGGTGATTGAGACAATGCAGTAACACAGAGGTACGTACAGTTACAGAGTTTCGATAAAATAGGAGCCATATAACTTGTTTGCCTAAATTTCATTTTCCTGCAAATGAATAATTTTATGAAAAAGGAAAGTTATGCATCTTTAACTAAACAGTGAGGTGTGACAATTTCTAGCTGCTCCTGTTTTTCCTCCGTCATGATGATTGTTAGATCATGATGATTTGTGGCTCTTGTGTGGACCCCCTTGAAAGAGGAAGTAACATGCTACTGAACTGACATGAAATGTGTTGTGACAGTGCACTGTATAATTTGTATGTAATATTTAATGAAAATTATAATTAAAACATATTCAACTAATACTGATTTCTGCTGCTTTAGTTATTTATTCATATATATATATTTATAGGGTAATATGAGGTACAGTTGTTGCCTTATGCTAATACTTTTTTTCTCATTAAAAATATTTTAAAAAATTTTAAGTAGTTATTTTAAAGAAATTACTTAAAACTCAATATTTTTTTACATCTACATTAAGTGTATGTATGTATATATATATATATATATATATAATTTTTTTTTTTTTCATTCTTCACTAGTTAGGAAGGACCTCATGAAATTCAAAGTGCTGAATTTAACATTCTGAGCTCAAATCCAAACGTGTCACACAGCAAATGTCTTTAATGAGATTAATTGCAACTGCAGCATGTATGGAAAACCAAAAGTACCACAAATTTATAAACAAGCAGCAAAAAGACATAACACTACCATGTAAAGTGCACCGGATTAGATCTCCGATATCAAATTACCGATATCTGATACAGCTAATTAGTCAATATTTGAGCCCATATCTGATCCAGGTATCAGATCGGTGCATCTCTAGTAAAAAGGGACATAGCTACCTAGATACAGTGTTTGCATTCCATCTATGCTTCAGAAAGAAGATAAAAGTTCCTCTACTAGAGATATTTAGCAATTGTCCTTGATAGATAGAATTTTATTGTTAAAATATTGTTTTTATTACATCTTTTCAGCCTAAAAGTATCTGCTAATTTTCCCAAACTGAAGGTAGATTATCAGAGGGAAACTAATAATAATTAAAAGAGACAATTTGCCATCTAATCAAGTAAAATAAGTTATTATTGATTGAAAATGTAGCTATAATTTAAATTCACCCCGGTTAAAATCAGCTAGGAATTTCACATCTTAAAAAGTTCAAAGATTATTTCTATACAACATATTGAACCAAAGAAACATTTCATATACAACTATATACAATTACTATTGTCATTCCACACAATGAGTTCTGTGAAACCAACATAGTTTGATGGTGTATCTATAATCTGTGTCTAATAAATTTTCCAATGGTAAATTATTTAGTGCTTTTCCAGATTGAAATCTGCCCAAACGCTTGACAGTGATGACAGCAATAGCAGACATATCCTTCAGTGCTAAAATAGTATTTTGATACATTAGTCCTTTCCTCTCCCTCAACCACAAGGGGCATATTTTGTCAGTGGAGGATGCGGTGAAGGTAGCGTTCAGAGTCTCTGGCACTTTCCATCCTAATGCCCAACCTCCATGATGATGGCTTGAAGGGATTCCCTGTAACATCTTCGTCAGCTGATAATTTAAATCTCCCCGGGCCTGTCTGATCATCGTTATCTTCAACAGGGTAGACAGCTGATGGTTCCTCAACCCTGGAGATGGAGTGATGACACTGAGTTAATCTGACCACAATTCATCTCCAAACGGAAACTATTTAAGAAAGATCAGTAATAAGGCCATAGATGGAATAAATAATTATAATACATTAACTGCTTATAATCAACGATTATACTTTTAAATAAGAGCTATAAAAAAGAGTTTTTTAGTTGGACAAAAATAATTTCCCATTCAAAAAGTAATATTAGAAGAACAGAATTCAACTTTATTGTCATTACATTGTCACTAGTACAAAGCAACGAAATTCACTCTCATTTAACCCATCCTTTTGGGGAGCTGTGGGCTGCCAGTGTGGGGTTAAGGGTCTTGCTCAGGGACCCAGAGTGGCAGTGGGGCTTGAACTCAGAACCTCTGGGGCTCAAGCGTAATGCCCTAACCACTAGGCCACCACCCCTGCTAGAAGTATGGTACTTTAGGATATATTGGAGGATATAGTAATCTAACAGAGACTATTTTGTCAAAAAGAAACAGATTTCAAACACATTCAGTTTTTTAAAGGCAAGCTTATTCAGATAAGGTCACACAGATGCAATTCTTAGAGAAAGTCTAGAAAGTCTTTCTGATGAAATGGCCTGTTCTGCGGGTGGTATGGACCAATCTATTTTTTTTTTTGTACATCAGATTTTCTTAATCAGATTTTCTTAAAAAGTAAGCCTGGTTTCTTCAGTATAACTATTCTCTATATTCACCCCTTTTTAATAATGTGTTTAGCTTCATGACTACCCTCACCAGACGAGCTTCATCTCAGTGAGGAATGTGAAACATGCAGCATAGTGTGTGCCTGTGAAAAGCAGACCAGGATTCAAACTCTATCAAACATTTTCACATACCTGAGATACCCTGACGTTCTCAGCCACTTATGTTCACTTTGTCCATCCACTCTTATTCCATTCTTATTCCTGGCTCGAACTCTTAGTCCCACCAAGGCCTGGGCCAGGCCCACTTCATCGTCATTCTGCTCTTCTTCATTCTGCTTTTCTTCATCTGCCCCTTCCAGATTTGTCTCCACATCCTGCCATACTAGCTTTGCCCGATTTTCTGCATTTCGGTCCCCTGCTGTTCTAAAGAGCCTATGTAGTTGATGCAGGTTCACCCCTGAAAAGATGTTGGAATACCCAGACTTTCGACTGCGACGACTGGAAGGTTTCCACTCTGCAGGCAGAGCATCCTTAGTGGAGTTGGGTTCCAGGGCCTCTGCCATGTTTTTTTTTTGGTGAGAGTTTTTCTTTCTCCTAAACAAGAATGAAAAGAAATGGTAACCTTGGAGAAAAAAATTTAGCTGTCTGTGAAGAGAGCTAAACATTAGATAGGATGGCGAAAACCCTGTCTGACCATAAAAACAGTGTAAAAATGTAAGGGACTGCTTGATTTTTTTTAATGCCAACAAAGAATTTGATATTAATTACAATTAATTAAAGTAGGTTAAGAATTTATTTTAATTCTCAGATTTAATAAAGTAGAAAAAAACTTTTACTGACTAATGATTTACATATATTTATGCCTTGTTAAGAGATATCTTTCTCATGTCTTTCAAGAAAAAAACGTTTGAATAAAATCTAGTTAAAATCCAGATCTTTAAGGAATATTAAAAACATTTTTTTTACTCAACTGTATGATTTAATTTTTGAGAGAAATGCCATATTTGAGGATCTACTATATTTCAATGAACAAACCTTTCACCTTTGTAACAAATAAGCCAATGAATCAGTCTGACTAATTTTGCAGCTCTGTAGCAGTCCATGCTCTCCTGGCCATATTTGTCGAATAGGTTGAAGTTTGAAACTTTAAAATAATCTATACCTTTCTATGTTTACAACTTCTGATGATCTTACTTGATCAGTTATTCAGAATTGCATAATATGTTGAGTGAGCAGTCTGAGAGCTGTCCTTTTACATTTAATCTTTTACAGATTTTTCTATGAGGTAGCCCAAAATGTATCTTGTTTGCCATATAAAACCCATTAGATGACATTCAACTAAAGCTTCATCTAAACTAAAAATCAAGCTCCTAACACTAGGAACATCTTTTGGAGAAACAAGAAGAATGTGGTCTAACTATTGTGCTTACCTTAGGCTGTGTGGATCAAACGAGAAGGTCTGCCTTTACACTACAGGCAGACACAGACAACCTAGTTACTGAGGCAGCATCTAGACTGCTGCCTTCACCACCACCTAATGCTGAGCTGACCCACTTCTAACTGCAGCGTCAGAGGCAAACAGAGCTGTGGGGGGAAGGAATAATCAAAGAGTAATCCAGTCATGACGTCAAGCCCAGGGCGCTCACCTCAGTCTGTAAATAAAGAAGCAGAAAGAATTTAACAAACTAGTAGAGACTGTGTAGAAATATCAATGCTCAGGCTGAGTCTGATAATGTTAAGCAATAGTAGTGTGGAATGGTTCTTTGGGAATATAGATACTGAACTACGCAATTTGCTTTCTACAGCAAGAATGCATAGATCTGTTTTAATTCAGGAAAGTCTTCTTGCTCTCCTTGCTGGTCTTTAGCTTCCTCTACAGATTCTTTATCAGATTCAAGTTTGCACTCTGGTTATGGCATGGAAATAATGTGATTTTATTTCTAGTCAGTAGATATATGGAAAAAAGGAGTTTATTACCTAAACCCATCAGAGGCATTGATAATTTTGGATTTACCATGATGTTGCACTTTATTTCTTTTGTTTGCTTTTTGCTGTTTTATATAATATATACATGTGGCCATGGGAGGATTGCAAGCCAGCATGGTAGAAATATAAACGCTAATTATGAATTAATTTAGAACAGAGATTAATTCATCCTTTCAACAACGGAACATAATAGTTTACTACATTTTTAATGCCTGAAATAATATATGGTTTTAAACCATTTTTTGCAAGATTAAATCTTGGAGAGGAAGCCCCCCCAAAAAGTTCATTTGATAATAAGATCTTTAGACATTTTTTTCTTATTCCTTTAATCAATGTACTAGATATAATTCTTTACCCACAATAGATACCCATATGCTAGACTATAGGAAAATATAAAACTCACAGACAACCACAATTAAAATATTTTTATTTTTTTTTGTCTAATAATCCATATTACAGTATTATTTGTATACACTCTATACACTTTGTGTAATTTTTCATTTGATCTTCAACAATAGTTCAAAACGACCATTTAAAATTATCATACTTGACTGGACCTGTGAAAATTTATCTTTAAGATGTTTTCAAAAAATGGATTGTATTTTATTTACTGAAGGTGAGTCTTTTATGATGTTTTGATGGACATAAGATTACTCAGTAATGTTTCTGATCTGTTTGAAATGTCTTAGAAGGAACAGGTAGAATGAACAAACCAGAAACAACTTAGGGGTTAAGTAGTCCAAGTTGTCTGGTGGCTCAATTACAAAGGCTGGGTCACAATTAAAGCTTTACAAAGAGAAAACAGGATCAATAAAAGTCTGATCAAACGCAAAAATGAAACGCACCAGGAGAGGGACCTAATACCACAACAACAGACATGAAAATAAGAACAGCTGCAGGTCAAACTTGTTCAAAAGGAGCTGCAATAATAAGTTTGTCTATTAAATTGTATATATCTGTCAACCAGCTTGTGTCAATACAGCAATCTTCTGGATCAGGTATTCATCACCCATCCATTAGTTCGCTCTTAGATTGTCTTAATAAGATCAATATTCTTAAAAAAAAAAAAAACTGAAGTAGAAAGGAGGTAACTTTATCACTGAGCTAATTTCATGTAGCTAAAATCTGCTTCCATGTTTTTCTAACTTAAATATGTGGTGAGTTACTTACTTTCTTTGTGACACCTGAATGCAACATTAATCAGCCAGCAGGTGTGAGAGGGTATATATGTATATTTGGCTCCTCTTCAGGAATAGCCAAACACTTTGTTTATTGGACTAATTTCAGCTTTAGTAATTTTTTTTGCAAAAGCTAGATATGAGTCGACTTTTTGTTGGACTGGTGAAGGCTCGACAGGCTCAAATATCCAGAATGTGGGTTCAGCAAAGAGCAACCTATATCCATGATAAGCCACCTAAAGACAAAATTGGAGGTGTGGTAAGTTCTAATCATCCATCTTGACTTTAGATCTTTTCTTAGAAAGTTATTCTTTCCCTTGTCTGATTTTTTTTTTTTTCTAAAGGAATCTGTGTTTGTCCTGACTGTGATGTCTGTGACTATCCTCGGGCCCTCCGGTTGGATTCTGTCAAACTTGGACCATTACAAAGGCCGAAAGTGATGGAGGACATCATGGAGACTTGTTTGTTAGTCCAATGACTTGCAGCTGAAAGTGCCTGTTGGAATGTCTATTAAATGGGTATTTAATAAACTCTTGTATCACCATATCTAGTGAGCAGGTCTTGTTTTATTTCCAATGTATAAATCAACTGTTGTAGTTTAACATACGCGCCACTGGGTGTCGCCAGAGGTGCGTGAGACGCATTCCTTTCAAGGTGATCATTTTTTTTTTTTTCGTTTAAACTTTATATAACAAACCTATAATGTACAAAGACTCGTTGAGGTACAAACCAGAGATGGCAAAAGTACTCATTTTCTGTACTTGAGTAAAAGTACAGATACTTGTGTTAAAAAATACTCTGGTAAAAGTGGAAGTACTGATTAAACTTCTTTACTCAAGTAAAAGTAACAAAGTACAGGCTTGTAAATTTACTTAAAGTATAAAAGTAAAAGTAGAAACCACTTTTTTCATGCCGTTGCCTACATTTTAAATGGATGTCTGCCAATAGGACTAGATCTCCGTTGTGTTCATTTTCAATCATCTCGTCGTCCATGCTACTATGCTAACGCCACCGCCACCAAGCTGCAATGATTTGCCGCGAATGAATACCGCCGAATCTGTCGATTCATCTTGTAGTGGTGCGTCAAATGCAACGTAGATTCCCATCCAATTAGATTGAATTTGGTATTGATGACGTGAAAAATAATAACGGTAACTCCATTGAAATGATTCAAAACTAAAGTAACGAGACAATTTTTTAAAATGTAAGGAGTAGAAAGTACAGATATTTGTGTAAAAATGTAAGGAGTAGAAGTAAAAAGTCGCCATAAAAATAAGTAGTAAAGTAAAAATATCAGAAAAATCTACTTGAGTACAGTAACGAAGTATTTGTACTTCGTTACTTCCCATCTCTGGTACAAACATTACAATATGGGTAGAGGGGAACAAAAAGAGAACATGGTGCAAAAACAAGAACGGATAAACAACAAGGCCAATGAATTTAATATAGAGAAAGATTTAAAACAAAATAGAAGTAGAAATACTGGCAGTTTTTGTGTGTGTGGCAGAAACAGATTTCAAATGTTTCAAAGAGGTGTAATACAATTTTTAAATTAAGAAAAAAAATCAAAACATGGAGTAGCACCTCTATTTACAGCAATGTATATATTTGACAAGCAAAACAATTTCATTGTGAACATCTGCCAGCAAACTGTTAGAGCATGAAATCATAACAGTTTATGTATGAAACTACCACCAGCATGAGAAACGGCTGACTTTATTACTGGATTTAAACGTTTATCTAATTGTACTACTCTATAAAACTCGACTATCAATATCCAGGCTTGATCAATATAAAATTAAAACATTATTAAAAATTTGGTCAGTGTAAATTGTTTACATGGTTCCAAAAATTAAAACCTGAGAGGTTGTACAAAGAGAGCCTAAGATTTAAAATTATAGATTAAACGTACAAGTTTGAAGGCTATCGGGTGAGAACCCAATTTAAATTCCAGTTCTGTCCACTAGCTGTCACCTTCCACGGAAGTGACGTTTTATTTAATAAACCAGCTGACGCGTTCACACATTGTTGTCCAGCGAGATCAATCAGAAAACTATCCAAAAATCAAAGGGCGGTGGATAAACGGCATGAAGCCACAGCTGTTAGGGGGGCAGGGGCCCGCGCTGGCGCCCTTGCTGCATGGATCTGACGCCATGCGATCAATCCAGGAGGAGCTGGTTGCTGCGATACACGGAGCTCTGGAAGCGGCTGTGGAGATCGCTGTCAGAGAGGTGAGGACGCTTGTTGGTCAGGCGACACTCGGTATGCATGAAGAGCTGCGGAGGGAGAACGAGTCTCTGAAGGAGAAGCTGCAGCGAGCAGAGCAGCTGCTGCACTGTGTCACAATGGAGGAAGATGATGGTAGCGACAGACAAAGAGACGGAGCGCCCCACCCTGCTTCCTGCGGTCCAAACACTGTTACACCAGAGGTCAGAGGTCAGCCTGCAGGGGGTCATAGCTGCTTTGGTCTGGATCACCGAGATGTGAGCAGACCATCTGATCGCGATAGGAAACAGCCTGACACCGATGGACAAAAGACTCATAAAGGTAACATGCCTGATGTTAAAACGTGTCCCCAATTAAATGCAGCTGAGATACTCCTATAATAAAGTTTGAAACAAGTCATAGTCTTTTGATCAAGCACGTTGCTTGTCTAATGTTTAAGCTTTTTCTTGTAGGCTGCTGAACTATCGGTTTTAACACAGTTTACTGTATGTACACTATTTGTGAAATAAGGACGCCAAGAAATGCATCCTAAATGCACCAGAGAGCTTTATCACAGACCCTTCCTTCCAGCAGCTGTAAGACTTGATAAGACTTGATCACTGTTCCTAATAACCTCAATAATTTGTTACATTCATGCTGATTTTGCAGAGTTTCTACCCTGGTCAGTTAAATTCAAATCAGTGTATTTATATAGCGCCAAATCACAACACATGTCATCTCAGGGCACTTTACAGTTCACCAGATCATACAGTCAAATTGATTCAAAGTTTTCTATCTAAGGAAAACCAGCTGATTGCATCGACTCATTGACTTGGATGCAATCCTTCACACTAAGCATGCTTGTAGCGACAGTGGAGAGGAAAAACTCCCTTTTAACAGGAAGAAACCTCCAGCAGAAACAGGCTCATTGTGAGCAGCCATCTGCAGAGGCTGACTGGGGTTCAAGGAGACAGAAGCAGAGACACAATAAGCAACTGTAAAAGGTGGCCCTGTCCAGGAAACACACAGGATGAAGAGAGCACATCCAGCCTGACCCAGTCAGAGAAATAGGAATACACTGGAAAAACAGGCAGATCTCCAACATTTATAAACAAAGGTGTTGATGGCAGCAGCACAGCTGATATTTCGCGTGTTATTTCAAATAACATGCTGCTGTCATTTTGCACATCTTTGATGCTATTTTCAAATGTCCATTACTGTAGAGATGTCCATAGCTGTATTGGTTATTTATTCTCCAGGTGCCCAGTTTTATATTGTTGAATAACCTTTACAATACAGTATTTTATTTATTTATCTTTTTACTCTTCACTGTTATATTATTCTTATAAATTTTTCTAAGGTCCACATTTGTGTGACAATTTTTCTATGATCTTTTTGCTGCTGTCAACACCAGAATTTCCCTATTGTGGAACAATAAAGGGATTTTTTGTTCTTCTAAGAAGACCATCTGTTAGTGATAAAATATTTCTAAATTGCTACTGATTTTAAAATACCTCTGGCAGTATTTTGAGGGTGTAGCCTACTTTATTTGCAGGGATTTCTTCATGAAATCTGACCAGCTCTTGGATCTAGCAAATGGCCTTTGTAAGTAGTTCATTAGAAAAAAAACATAAACTTGCTAATAATGCATCTTTATGCACTTTTCTGTTGCATTAAATGTTATCTCATTACAATCAGATATATTAAAATTAGCTTCACCTCCCTTTTCTTAGAAACCATTGGAGGGCTCAGTATTTTTGTTGCCCAACAAGTGAATTTATTAAATCAAACTATGTTTTATCAGCAGGGAAACTGGAGATTTAATGTTGGTTGTGAATGAATGTAAATGAAAACTAAATTCTATTCATCATTTTTGTCAGTTTTCAACTTGCTTCATTTTATTTACAGATGTGTTGAAAATAGAAGGTGTGACCACACCATGTCGAAACCTACAAGCTCCAGAGTCAGAAGCACCTCTTAGAACTTCCCTCAATACTACACTGGAGCAAGTTACCATAAAGCAGGAAGAAGCGGAAGAGGAAAGGAGACCTATCTGTTTGGACGTAGTCAAAGACGAAAGTTTAGTTTCAGACAGCATTAATTGGCCGTCGGAAGGGACAGATACCCGGTGTCAAGACCCAAAGGCTCAAGTTCTTGATGAAAGGGTGAATCAAGGTAAGAGGCAAACCAGATGAGCTGATAGATGCTGCAATAGTTTTTACACCCTTAATTCACTCAAACTCTTCCCCAGTCCTTTAATTCCTGCTGTATATCCACTTAAAACAATATAAGAATTACTTGACAATATAAATAGATTGTGTGTAAGTGAGGTTTATTTATATAGCACAAAGTGCTGTACAATATGAGGCATAGAATACAAAGCATCCAGGGCCGGCGATTGCTATAGGCGAGATAGGCAATTGCCTAGGGCGACAAATGTGTTGGGGGCGCCCTCTAGCGTCGCCCTTAGGCTTACTTCCCATTAATCATAGAATTAGAAAAAAAAGCGAATTAAACCGGTTATGAAGCGTCCGTCAGTTTGACTTAACCTTACGTATATATAAATAGCAAAATATGAACAAATAAATATACCACCGTTTTTTTTAATTTATTTTTTCACATTTAAGAGAAAATCGGAAAAGATTCTGATCACTTTTCAAGCGCCCTCCAACCCGGAAGTCGTGACGTCAGAACGGGAGCGTTCATGGCGATCTACTGCACTAAATGCGATAGCCAAAACGAGAAATCTGAAAGCAAAATTTCGACTTCAACCGAGCGATTCCTACCAGGAGACCATTCTGATGTATCGGAGGAAGAATATTTGTGTCTGGAGCCTCACATGTTCGACCCAGATGTTTCAGATGAAGAGAAGGCAGCGGACGAACAACAGCGAGTCGGACAATGAGTGGAGATTGGAAGTCAACAGGTGTTATGCCCAAAAGTGCATGCCTGCCGAAATATGCATCCCCAGTCGCGGGAGCGCGCCTCGCTCTGTTGAACTGCATATCGACGAGGTAAACGGATTAAAATATGTTCAATGGAGCTTAGGTTCTTATATTAATGATATAAAAACGTTTAAAAATACCTCTCGTGGGAAAAAAGTTGTGGTTATTTGGCAGATTAATTTACAAAAGTACGGATTTTTTGAACAACATTAAATCCAAAGATTTTGACCATGGTACGGCTGATTTATTTGTTGTGGTCTCTTGTTATTTACACACAACACTAAACCGTGATAGCCGACGTGAGTTTGGAGTTTGCAAAGGTTTCTCTTAAGTGGAAAATCAAACGCGCATCTACACAGCACAGCGTTCACAGACCAGTTAGATGCATTCGCTGCGCGTCAGAAAGCTATGGTGCATTCAGGAGCATTGGAACATTTCAAACTTACAAGAATGAGGCATAAAACAGAACTGTATTTTACTGAACTGTATTGTATTTTTTTGTTTTTTTTGTTTATGCATCTCACTGGTCTGTGAACGCTGTGCTGTGTAGATGCGCATTTGGGCATAACACCTGGAGATTAGATGAATGGTAGGACAAGTTTTTTCTTTTAACAGTTCAAACATTTTTTTTGTATGTTGACATCATTTTTTTCTCAGTATATATGCAGCAGAATTATGTGCTATATTATTAGCTTGAGAATGGGTAGAAGATACTAATATAAATAAAATATTTTGTAGTGATTATCTGCATTGAGTATTCAAAAGGGATGTACAAATAATCATCAAAATGGGCTTGCACTGATGAGCATCAACCAAGAGGTCTCAAATAAAATCTCATTTGATGATACCATCAACGAATTTGCCATTAGGAAGTCCAGACGAGTCAAATTTTAATGCTGCATCAATTTTGAAGGTGAATAGAAATACCTGAAACAACTGATAGATAGAACTACAAGAACTTCAAACTTTTAATTTTGTAATGGTATTCATAAAAGCACTTTTGTTTGTAGAGGGTTAATCCTTTCTTTAATCACTAATCAATGTCAGAAATCAGGGTAAATATACCTGATATATTTTATTTAGAGGAAAATTTTGTTTATCTCATTTCTATTTATGTTCAAATGATTTAATTGAACTGGAACAGAAAATTTAATTTAATGTTTATCAATTACTTTTTTATGTAGTCCTTGGTTGAAGAATTTCTTAAATTTATTATTTTTTATTGTTATTTGGTAACTTCTGAAATTGATTTATTTAATATTTGTTTAATGTGTGTTAAATTTGTTAATTGTCTGAAATAAATTCATTCATTGATTCAATCCAGTTTTTTAGTTATACTTTACCTAAGTGTCCTTACAGATGGTTAAAAGTGTTTTTGCACAGTCCTAACTTTGAGTGTGTAATAAATTATTTAAAATAATAAAAAAGAAAAGGTACCGAAACCTATTCTGGTATTTGTCTATGCATCACTCCATGCTAAGTTACATTTTTTTCTGAATGCTTAAACACAACCTTGATTCTTGTAGCACAATTTCTAAAACTATTAATACTTATAGCAAATCCACTCACTGAGTTCACAAAACTAAAAGAACAAACACTGCTTTGCACTCAATTTGCAATTTTGTAACACACACTTTGCACAACTGTAGGCACAATTCACCACACAGCACTCTTTGTGGAACTGTAAACACAACACAATGAAGCACTAAACAGATGCTGAAAACAGTAGTGGTATTTCGCACGGCAAAAGTGAGGGGGGGGCAAAACTCAATCTCGCCTAGGGCAACCAAAGGGCTAGAACCGGCCCTGAAAGCATCACTTTAATATAACCACATATCAATGCTGAGGCTCTTACAGATTAATACAAAATGAATGCAGATCAATGTCCAGAAGCCTCTATAACTGGTATGCTTCAGCTTTTAAACTAACTGGAATCACTTCCCGTGAGTGCTTCCATAGCAAATTAAAAACTTTGTGTCAGATGTTTCCTATTTGCAGGTACCTATTGTCACCCAAGTGCTGTGTGTACTCAGAGGACTAATGTGTTCCACTGTTGACATCCCCCAGTTTTCCTTCATTATAAAAGATACAAGAATTACTGTCATGAAATCAGTTGAGCACGATGAGCTCATTGTAATCTGCCTTACAAGCCAAGGCTCAGCTAATATGATAGGCCTGTGCCTATCTGCGGCATGCGGGGTACATTCTGGACAGGTCGCCTGTCTGTTGCAGGGCAACACAAAGACATGCAACCACACATGCCCCAAAGGAAAATGATGGCAATCTACCTAGCAGTAATGTTTTAAGACTCTGGGTGGAAGCAGAGTACCCAGAGAGAACCCGCGCATGCACAGGGAGAACATGCAGAAAGACTGCGGTCCGGGAATCAAACCAGAATCTTCTAGCTGCAAGAAAACATTGCTACGAACTGAGCCACTATACAACCCTCAATATATAACCCTTCAAAGAGAAAATACAATTTAATTATATCTCAACTGGGAGATATATTTTTTTTACATTAAGCAATGTCAAGAAAGACTTTGAACACTAAAAAATATAAAAAAAAATTTTTTAATAGTGTGTTCCATAAACTTTTCATTGATTAGAAAATGTAAAAGATCTTAACATTTTAAATTGTTGTGACGATTTAAAGGATTGAGAGGATGATTTTTAAATAATCATGAATTTAGCTTCATGACTTTCCAGTTTAGGATTGAAAGTTTAAATTTTATTATGATAAAAATGAACAATTTAATTTGTACAGAGTCGATCCATTTTCACTGCACATCTTTTGCAGAATATTATAAAACTCAAATAATAATTTGAGAAAAGATTTTTTTTTCTTTACACAGGTCATCTCTCTCTGATATTGACATTGGTTTAATTACATGAAATATTTAAAGTGATATAGAACCAGACTGTGACAGGGCAAATACGTATTTACTGCACTCTCAGGTAAAGACAAAAAAAAAGATTTGATTCTGGCAATACATTTTTTTATTTTATTGAGGGTTGTTTTGGTTTTATTCTTCTGAATTATTCTTTTTCTCAACAGCTCGTCCTCCAAACATAAGTAGCAGCCTCACATCAAACTCGGATCTTCAATTAATCTCTCCAGAGTTTTCAAACATCTTCCATCTGGAACCAGCTTCCGTATCACAGGCTCTTCCACAAGTCCAAGAATCCCATATCAAGACAGGCCGCAGCAGCACCACCATCCCCACGTGTAAGCTCTGTGGTCAGACCTTTCCCCTGCCCAGCTTGTTGCGGCGACACTTTGGTCAGTGCAGCCTGAGGCTCCAACAGCGTGGTCAGCCTCCCCAGGGAGGAGGCACAAAGACCCAGCTGCAGCTTCACCCCCCAGGCTGGAGCCCCTTCCGCTGCACCGTGTGCAGCCGAGACTTCAACCGCTTGGAGAACCTGAAGACTCATTTGCGCATCCACACTGGCGAGAGGCCTTACACCTGCTCTGTGTGCCTCAAGTGTTTCCGTCACTCAGGAGCGCTGACTCGGCATTTCCGCATCCACACAGGAGAGAAGCCGTACGTCTGCGGTCAGTGTGGGAAGTCCTTCAGGAACTGTGGTGGGCTCAAATTCCACCAGCGCACTCACAGCAAAGACCTACAGTAGATTAAAGAAAGTCAAGTTCTTTAAGTGCTGACAGCTTTTAAAACACAAATTTATATTCTTCATTTGAAGTTTATAAAATACCAACACAAGGCTTTTAAATACAGAAGTGTTTGGTTTTCTAAAAATATATTGCTCAGGGAATGTCTGCTGGACAGGATTCAAGACAGCAGAGTTGCTCATGATTGATTTTGAGCAGAATTTACCCATAAAACAAATTTGTTTTAATCTATGAAAGCCAAGCTAATATCCAACGATCAATTAGCTAGTTACATTTTTAAAAGTTTGTAATTATTCAAAATAAAAGTTTCTTTTTTTGAAATAAAAATATTTTAATTAAAATTCACTTGTTCATAAGCTCATGTGATTTTTTTTCCTTTCTTTCCTTTATAGCTAATTCCTTCTTCATTCAAATTCTTTCACAAATTGCTATTTTGATCAACTAGAGCTGTAATTATTTAGTAATAAATCCTTTATAATAGTTGGAATACATATTGATTTTACCTATATTAATAATTGCAAAGGTGATATGCTGTAGCAATGATTGTTGCAGCTCATGGTGACAGTTTATGTTGTGTTCAGTTTAGTTTTTGCATTTTTGTAATAAGTATGGAAATAAAATATTTTCATTTATTTATTCATTTTTTTGTCCACTTTAGGTTCCTGTCTGCTTAATATTGACTTGTCCATATGTGTTTAGCATCATAATCACATCGGAGATGGTTGGGGAGAATTGTCAATGGATTGCTTGATTCTCCAGAAATTGGTTTGGAAACAAACTAATCTCATCTAAATAAAGAAGGGAACAACATTTAAGAAGATGTGCAAGTTGCTGTTCAGAGAATGAGTAAACACTTTATGTATCCTATTTATTTTATTTATTTATTCGTTTTTCAGGGACGGTACACATAAACATTTCTGTAAATGTGACAGTATTGGCTATGAAGCTAGTTTTCAACTATTGTCTCCTGGCAAAGTGTATAATGTCAAAAACAATTATGAAGAAATGATAAACAGACATAGAAAATGTAAAAAATTGAGGCTACATACTTGGGGTAGGTTTCAAACAGAGACATTAGCATACACATATACAGATATTTAAAAGGTAAAACCCGATCCTGACATTTCTGATGCATGCACTAGGAGATCTGTAAGGTCTAACTCACAATGGCAGTAATAATGGGATCATAAAGAGTGAAAAATATCAGACAAAACAGAAATCTGATGCGGACTAATAAAAGCTTGAAAGAGTTTCTGGTTAATTTGGCAAAGTATAATACTGTCAGTCAAAAGTCTATATACTGTATATTTGGATGACATATGCCATATCTGGATGGCACATGCAAGCATTATGCCATCCAAACCACCAATTTCTAAATCAAATCCCTACATTGCAAAAAATGGGTGTCTAAAATCAAGAAAAAAAAAACGTACTCAAAGCAATTATAACATCTGTCAATGCAGCAAGATATTTTACTTGTCAGGATTTCTTTATTTAAGATTCTTAAATAGAAGCTACCTTAGCATGTTGAATACTTAAAACTACGTCTTAAAAGAAGATAAATGATCTAAGACGTCTAAATGTAAGTTTTTTTTTTTATGTTGGTAAGAACCACATAATTTGCAAGTGTACCAACGTGCAGTCAAAGTCTGATAGGTAATAATCAGCAAAATAGTAACTCTGGTAAAATTTGGCTGTTCTCCAACTCCTAAAGACATTTTAAATCATCCGGCGTCAAGGAGACATTCATGCAAAGTCTAGAACTTCCTGCCTCTTGACGTAACTACTTGATAAGATCTGTTTGCTCTGAAGATAAGGACACAGTTGGGTTGAGTGTGACTTGTTTTAAACTATCATGACTCTCTAAAGTGGGAAAAGAATATTTGTAGTGCAGCAACTGTGAAAAAACTAAGTGCATCAAAGACGCTATGAGCAGCGGATCTGTCCTCATGGCACTTCTAAGGATGAATCTATTTCAGTTACGTCCTATATCATTTGAGAGGCTAATTTAATCAGTTTCCTTTTTCTCTGTTAATTTGATTTTTTTTTTCTTGTGTAAACATTGTGCTTCAATGAACTCCAGCAGAAAAGCAGCTATCAGTGCAATCGACCATTATCTACTCAGTTTCTAATGTCAGCTAGGAGTCTTAAAATAGAAAACTTCCCTTTTCATCATCTGTATAACGTTCTGCTATTTCATAATTTTGCACAAGAAGAGCAGGATGTAGCACGCAGCACTTAAGGTCGAAGTGAAAGATAACAAATGAAGACTTCCTCCACGATCCTAAAATCAACAACCAGATGGTTTAGACCAAAAACAAATTGGTGTTCCCACAGAACAGTGACCCTTAAACATGCACCAAAAGGGAGGTTTTTGGAATAGATACGCAAGCTAAACTTAATCCTCTGATGTGACCCTGACCTCATTCCTTTAGATAATGTATTTACCATGCTTAAATGCAATATTCAGCAACCATTTTGCCAAACGTTTATTATTGTTTCTCTGCAATTTGCCAAATGTCACATAATCCAATATAATTAGAGATTATGCCAATATATTATCAGGTAAGCATTTTTATTTCAACAGACTACCAATTATATGAACATGTCAGAGTCCCTTCAGTTACGGAATATGTGGAGGGTGGAAAAGAATTGGGTGATTAAGAAGGATTAATTATTATTTCTCATCAATTCCACATTTCTTTTTGATCAGAAAGTAAAGAAAAACATTTGTTTTAAATATTTTTGATGATGATAGTTGTGACATTTACAATCTGTTTTGTTCTTAAAAAAATACAAATAAATTACATTGAAAAAAACTAAAAAGAAATATAAAAAACATAACATAAAAATAAAAATCAGAAAGTAAAGAAAAACATTTGTTTCAAATATTTTTGGTGATGATGGTTGTGCCATTTACGATCTTTTTTTATTCTTTAAAAAAATTATAATAATAAATTAAATAATAAAAAAGAAATATAAAAAAATAAAATAGGAAAAAAAAATCTGAAAGTAAAGAAAAACATTTCTTTTAAATATTTTTGGTGATGATGGTTGTGTCATTTACAATCTTTTTTCTTCTTTAAAAATAATACAAATAAATTTAATAAAAATAAAATAAAAAGAAATATAAAAAAATAAAATAAGAAAAAAATATAAAAAACATAAAATAAAAATAAAAATCCGAAAGTAAAGACAAATATTTGTTTTAAATATTTTTGGTGATGATGGTTGTATCATTTACAATCCTTTTTTACTACAATTAAATTGTTATTTTTTTTTTAAATAAAAAAATATTTAAAAATAATAATAAAATAATAATAAATGAATAAATAAGTTATTTACAATCTAAAACAAATCGTGTCAGTATCGATTGTTCTGGTCTGATCGGGCCGCTATGGAGGTCCTCCATAGGCCGTTCTCTGCTATCAACTATGCGTCCTGGATTAGAAAAGGAAGCGACCATTCTCTGAACAACAGAAAGCTAACAAGTTAGCCGTTTTATAAACAAGACAAGCAAATCCTTCTTGTCGTCCTTCCGCCTTGTAATAGTGTGAATGAGCCCAACTCTTTGGCCAGACTGTCTACATCATGTTACCGGAGCTGGAGGCTCTTCCTTCCTCCGGTCCAGTCATGTCGGTGGGTGTCGTTAGTTTCGCCTGAGCTCCTCTCCCAGCTCCACTGCTGCTGCTGTTGCTCTCTCTCTCCTTACAGTAAGTTCTATATCTATTTTAACATCCTGTTTTTAGATGTATTTAAACAGAAGTACTCCTACATGAACGGTTAGACATGGCGGTCAGTACTGTGCTCTGTGTTTGGAGCAAACTTTCCTGTTTGACCACATCTCTATCAGGCCACAGCAGCTATTAGCACCAATGGTTGGAGCTCATTTCAAAAGGATTGGCTCTGTTGGAAGTATTCGCACTTTGAAACAAGACCGCTGCCAGTCAGGTATTATACAAACTGCAGAACTTCAATTACATCGGCATATATTTCCACTGTCATGTCCATTACATCGCGATAATATTTATATCCCTTTGATACTGTTCTCCTTCTGTCACTATTGGGACTGAGAATTGAAAGGTTGTGCATTTGTATGAAAAAACCCTGAGTGTTTTATTTCATTATTTGATAAAGAAAATGTGCTCTTATTTATATCTGGGGTTTTTTTTCAGTTCCATTTTGTGAACACTTTGTAAAATCACATTCTGTGGCAGAAATAGCTGCAAGTTGTTTGGTGTGGTTTTATTTTTTATTTTCTTCTACAGCTTGGCTTTTTTTTTTCTGTTCTGCTTCTTCCAAGGTAGCTTAACCTCTCAAAACTTTTATAGTGTTTACAATTAATAACTCAGAATGCATGAAAATTACTCCAGTAATATGTTTACCAATGTGTTAGACATTGTTGGAACTTTTAGATTCTCCACAATTCAACCACCTAGTTCATTTTATGGACACAGCGAGCACCAATGCACAATTAATACAGATATAGCAGCATGTCAAAATATAAACATGATAAAGCAGCCACAACAAGCAGGCATGTCTTTATTACTGATGTTCAAAATTATGTAAATATTATTTATTTTTTATTCATGTTTGAACTGATGCAGCTTGGGTTTTTTTTTTACTCACCCAATTTTCAAATATATATTCAGAAACTAGAAGGTGTTAACTTTAAAATAATGGATCACACATGTAACTTGGGCTTTTGCTTTTCCATTTGGGTATGCAAAATAGGCGAGAATTTCCCAAAATGAGGTGGATATTAAGAGTTTAAACTCCATTCTTACCTCAGATTCCCAGTTGGAATTATGACTGGACTTTGACTGGGCCATTCTAAAATCACACACACCTTGACTTTAGTCAGAGGAGGGTAGAGAACCTAAAAACCTTAAGCAAGCTAGAGTAGCAGTGCTTTAATATCTATTTACTATGTACAGTTGAAAGCTTTCACCCGAGTATTTTCTCCAGTAAGAGATAGAAAGTACTCGTTAAAATGGTTCCTCAATTAACTGTTGGCTCTTAATATCTGAGTTAATGTTTAAACTCATGTAATCAGGCAGCTGTATGCTAGTTCTGGTCATTCTATTTTTAAGTATAAGATACAAATTTTAAAATGACAAATAAATGAAAGGAACATAAAAAATATTTATATAAAAAACATAACCGTTGTGAATAGGTGCTATATAAGCTAAATTGAACTGAATAAAACTCTTTTTTTTTTTTCAAGTTGAACTTATAAACCCAAACCTTACAGTAGATGATGCATGTATGTTAGTAAACGATAAAGAACTTTGTGCTGCAAAATCTACAATTTACTGTATTTTCACCTGATGTCTGAATAGTTCAAACTATTCACGACAGTTTGAATAAGCAGACAATGTAATAAGTAGGAGTAAGAATACACTGACAGGGATATCACTTGATTAAAATAAGAAAGTATCATAAACCATAACCATTTTAAGGTATAAGTAATTTTATGGTAATAGTCACGAAAGTAAATGTAACTATTTACTTCCCACCTCTGACTTTAGTTATTCCATTTTACCTCTAGTTGCATTTTCACTGTATTTACAAATGATCTATCTATCTATCTATCTATCTATCTATCTGTCTGTCTGTCTGTCTGTCTGTCTGTCTGTCTGTAAAAATGTGAATATATCGCTATTTACATCAGTATAATATTCAACATTATTATTGCTATTTCTGTTTTTAATAACATTCAGAAACCTTCCATAAACTTTGAATGAATGCATTATTCTGATAAAATCTTACTCAATTATTGCATAAACATGCTACCATATCCGTGTGCTGTTCATCTTTCCTCTTTTTACCGATCTAGAATTTTTTTCTATAGCACGATACACTAGATAGATTTTACACTCAGGTTTTAGGAGTAACATTGGCTCCACCTTATCCGAAAAACATTTCTGTTTGATCCCTTGAAATGCTTTCCACAGACCATAACAGAAGTGCTCATAGAAGCAGTTCTTTATGAGTGACTGACTTTTGCAGTACAGGTTTCTTGTTTCATTGATTGCGTTGTGCCTGCTTGTCTTTTTTTCCCTACCCTCTAACTAGAGATCGTGATGCACAGCACTGGAGAAACCTCCCAGGGTTCGGGGGAACGGGGGGAGCTAGTGCAGTCGTTCTCTAAAGAGAATCCTGGGTCTCCGGATGCCTCTGAGTTAGGGAGTCCACGCTGCCCTCCAAACTTTGACCTCCTAAACATGGTGGTTTCCTACAAGAGAATGGCTATGTTTCTAGAACCAGTGGTAGATGCAGTGGAGCTGATCCGGTATCTTCTCGGGTATTTTTGCAGCCTTGTATCTTTATATATTTATACATTACCCATCAACAAAAACGATGTCTTTTCCTAAAAATGTTAATTATGTACGTTTTTTTTCATTGCACAGATGGAAAATGCCGGTGTGCTCTTTTCTTGTGTGGATATTCCTCAATGTCTTCTTTTGCACAGTTACTAAAGGTACGTTGAGGCGTTAATGTTAACCCTACTGTCTTTTTGTGGATTTTAATAATTAATAACAGTTTTTTTTTTTTTTTTTTCTGCTTTGGTATCAGCTGGTTGGTTCATAGTGATTGCAGTGGCAGTTTCAGCACCTGCTGCCCTGGGTTACCTGCAGGACAGGTGTGGGAGCAGAGTGTCCGAAGCTGAGCTTCAGAAGAGGCGTTTTCACGCTGTGCATCGTAGAGACCTGCAGACGGTGAACCTCACCAAACAGGAGGCCATGCTGGAAATCAAAGACCTGTAAGACACAACCTGCAAGGTTGCAGGCAATCATTGTATGATGTATTCAGCCCATAAATACTTGTATTAATGAATGTTTAATGAAAGCCAGTCTGTGTCTTCACTCTAAATGTAAAAACCTAAGTTTTGATTTTCACCTCCTAAATTAGAATCAGACCAAAAATGTATGGTCAGACCCAATGGGATTTCTCAGTCAATTTTTGTTTTTTGATCCAAAATAGAGTGCCAGTCCAATACAGTATTATAGTCAGTAAAGTAAATGCTGTATATCCTCAGAAATCAAAACAATTTAATCTCACCACTATTCAACATGCTGAGGCATGTTGTTCCAGTTGGAATTTCTGCATGAAAGCACTGGTATCCTGCCCTGCCCTATAACTGACCCAAAATCCAACTGTAGTCTAAACTGATGAATTTCTCCTACAGAGGAAGTTTGCTAAATTGAGAAACTAAAACTAGCTTATTCGCCCTGTTTTGATCTGACTTATCCAACCTATAGTGAATTTCAGTTCCTGTTACTTGTACAGGTGACACTAATTGAAACTTGTTTTTCTGTCGTAAACATTGGTTTGCGCTAAACATTATCAAATTTAATGGCTGTAGTTTCAGTGACTTTCTGAACCGCTCCCCTCGACCAGGAGGCATAACAAAACTCACAGAGGGTTGCAGTAGCCGCTACAGTTTCCATTTAACTGGGATTTCTTGATAAAGGGGTGTATATATATAATTGAGCTTTTTTAGGAAAAGCTAGTCATCAAATGTAATGTAGACCACCTTTAATGCAATTTGTTGGCTTTGAGGATTCCAATTATTGAGGGATTTGGTTATCAATATTCTGAAATCTCTGACGGATCATTAGACCAGGACACTCCTACAGCAGTAGTCAGATTGATATGTGTAGAACTGAGTTGAGTTCTATGTTGTCAATCTGGGATAGCTGCCATTCAGTCTGTCCGTGAAAAGGAAGGAGGTGTAGTACAATACTTCCAGCTGATTGGGTGACGTGCCAGCTAGTACCCGCCTTCCATAATACGCTTTCAGCCATTCGTAGCAGTGAATCATGATGTTTCGCAAGGTGACAAATCAAACTTTTACCAAATCCTGTCGAAAGAAAAGCTCAGACATCTTTATCATTTACCAATGCACGAAGTGCTTCTCTTTGGGGTTTTTTTAAACGAAAAATTGATGCTATTTTAGCTCAAACTGAGTCAATTGCAGTATCGACAGGTGAGTCCTCCAGCGCAGCTATGTTTGTAATACCTCAGCAAGGCCCTTCTGACTGTCGTCATTCTTGCATGTACTGCCTAAAAAACATTGCTGGCATTTCATTGGTTTGACTCGCTGGTTCTTTGGAGATGCACGTATTAGTGGGAGTCTTTCAAGATGGACTTGTTGTGAGCCTGAAAACTCAGATCTCGGGACAGTCCAGCTTGCAGCGCAATGTTGGGATACTCCTGCCTGAGTCCATAAATTTATCTTCACTTTTGCTATGTTTTGTTTTTTGGTACGACAGATTAGTTTTGGCTGACTGTATGAAAGAGGCCGATTTGAGGCATGAACATGAGTTCTTGTTTTATATGGAGATTTGACATAGTTTTAATATTTTGTTTCTTGAAGTGTAAGGGTCGTAAGGGTTTTTTTGAGAGCGGGGGATTGAAAGTTGGTCAAGTGTTTGTGATGTTTTGATGGGCAGTTTTAAACCAAAAAAAAAATATTTGGCTGTTTACACAATAACCACAGTTTTCAACTGAAGTGTGCCTTGTAAGACTTTCCACACAATGACGATGCAGAAGTTAGCCACAATATAAATGTTAATGCATTTTAGTTATAACTGTGTTGAAGTTTCTTCCTATTTTTTTCATTTGTGTTCATTTTATGTTTCTTGTACCAACTAGGCTGAAGCACTTGGATGAGATGTTGTCCTCTGCTTGTCGGTCAGCGGAAGCTATTTATAAGGTCTTATACTGGGATGATCACGCCACATCATCAAGGTCTGTGTGTCACTCACACACCCAAACACACAAATCCTTTTCCACTGCATGAAGTTCACTCACTGTTGTTCAATAGCCTCACCTTTGGAACTAGAAATAGACCGAACAAT